GAGAGAGAGAGAGAGAGAGAGAGAGAGAGAGAGAGAGAGAGAGAGAGAGAGAGAGAGAGAGAGAGAGATGACGGCGCTCTCCGACTGCTGCCGGTGTTCCCGCCGCCTTTGAGATTGTTCCCGGCACCTCCCTCCAACTGCTGCTAGGCGGCCCCCCGCCAAATGTATTGTGCGTGTGGCCTGATCGTTTGCAACAGCGGCCGCTGAAACGTGGATCCCGCCCCTTCCCCCCACCCCGCAAAAAACAAAAACAAAAATGCGCGCATAAAAGAAGGCTTCCCAAACGAAACCAAAAAAAAACAAAAAGGCGCGAGAAACAATGGGCAAACAGCGGGCCCGCTCCTACGGTACCGCCTCCTTGCGGTGGTCTCGGCCCACATGCGCTGTGTAGTTTAGTTTTCTACAACTGTGTGACGCCAAAAGGCGGGAAAAGAAAGTAAATAATCTTCTTATTTGACTTCATTCATCTAGTGCCATTAGGAATCGAACTCAGGTCTTCCTTTCAACAGTTCATTGGTGTGCCACATCCTATTCCTCCTATTGGACATACTACATCCTTGGGGCCCTAGACATGTCTCATCTGGTGCCAGTAGGAATCGAGCTCAGGTCTTCCTTTCAACAGTTCATGGGTGTGCCACATCCTATTCCTCCTATTGGACAGACTACATCCTTGGGGCCCTAGACATGTCTCATCTAGTGCAGTAGGAATCGAACTCAGGTCTTCCTATTGGACAGACTAGATCCTTGGGGCCCTGGACATGTCTCTGACAAACCAAAGCTGGCCTTACCTTCCCCCTGCATTCACTGAAGAGGAAAATTCCCGTGTAGTTTACTATCTGAAAAAAAACTCGTAGAAAACTACAACGCCCGTGCCTCTCCTGCCATCCCCAACGTGACCCCAACATGACACCCCAACCAATCACAAAACAGTAGGCTGCTGGCTTCCCTTCCAAAAGGGCGGGTTGTGTAATCCTACCGTCCGTTTGTCAGATGATCAACGGTTCGCAGTGATCCCACAGTCACACAGGTAGCAGAAAACTGTACTACACCGCTGCATGTGGGCCGAGACCCCGGGATTTTCCAGGGCCCACGCGAAGCGTGACATGGGGCCCGGGTTTGCTTTTAGTAAGATAGAGAAAAAAAACAGCCAGAACTCTGCTTCCTCTTGCATTTGGATGAAGCCCCCACTCTTTCCCGAGCTGACCTTTTGTCTGTTTCTATTGTGTTATGATCCTGGCCAATTTCGAAGTCCAAATTCACAAGAAAGTACAATGCCGTCCATTTAAGAGGGTATTGGGTGTAAAGGGTTTAAGAGGACAGACATAGCAATAATCAAATAGGGGGGCTGCTCAAACAGGGTTGGGTTAAAAGATAAGGGGGCTCCAAAAAGGGAAGGGTGACACTAGCTGCTCCATGGGACAAAGGAGTCCCGGGATGAGGAAATAATGACCACAGCCCTAGGAAACACCAAACAGCAATCTCAGTGTCACAAGATTTATCAATGGGACGCTGGACCCGGTTTCCAGCAGGTTCTGCTTCCCGCCAATAGATGGAGCAGCCGACTTCCCCCTA